AAAAATACTTTAAAATTGCCAGATGCTGTTGACTTCAGCAAGAGTAATCACAGCAAGCTGTTGAAGAGAGACTGACAATATTTTCATTAGCAGGAAGGGATTAAATGAAACCATTCTCTTCCCATCAAATTACAGAACCACTATACGAATAGGAGCACAGACCTTTGGATATGGAACCCGCACGGTCTTTGGGTACTGCAATGACTCATCAGAGTAGAAGGAGTATTCAATAAGTGGGACGTCTGTGTCGTTAAATTGGGCATATGCTAAAAAAGTGCCGTTTGGAGACCACCACAGAGCGGAGTAGGCACTGAAGACTTCCTCTGAAAAAAGACATAAATTGTTCTGTTACAAGAAGTAGCTGATAAATTGGCTTTGACATTCAAAATATTGTTCTCATTAGCTTTAGTAATTACAGTAGAGTTCAACTAATGAACCACTTTGCATTTGCTGGGCTTCCAAAATCAGAGTAATACAAATGAATAAAAATAAAATCTTCAAGGATATATCTGGATTGTAAAAATAAGTAACCCGTTGGACCATTTTAGAATATTTTAGCATGCAATATTTAATATAAGCTCTACATTTTTTTCTTTTTCTTATAATCCTCTAAATTTATGCCTCAAAACATACTAAAAGTAAATTTCACACAGGAGGCTGATTCTCCTTTCTAATTTTCAAACAGTCAACATGCCAGCATACTCTCCCCAACTGGGCTCAGTTTGTACTGAGCCCGCAGGGTACTGGTGGGTGGTGTATAGCTCCAGGCTATCAAACCAATATGGTGCCCAGAGTTTACTACTCTTGGCACAAACGAGGTGTGGGAAGGATGGATTTAGAATAGCAAGGAGCTCCATGAGACCCCTATTGAGAAACATCTCTTTTGCCCAGTCCAGAAACTGAAAAACTTCCTTGGATTAACACCCTCTTCTGGTGTGAATGCCGATGCAGAAGGGAAGAGGTCAAGAGGGAGGCAGAGGAAGAAACTGTCTTTCCAGTACTTGCTGAGCTGGTTCCCAATCTCGGGCAAAGGGAGCTCCTCCCTATGTTCACTGTTATATCTTTTCCTGGGATATTCAATCTTGGGCTCTTAAAACACCAAAATCTCTTTCGTCAACTGGGAATGGAGGATTCAAGTAGACTGGGGGGAAACTCCTATTGAATCTATAAATCTTGTGTGATAATGTGGGTGTAAATATAAAGTAAAAACATAGAAACTAAAATCTTAGGGTTAGGAAATCATGTCTCCTAATCACCTTTCTGATGACTGAGCCCTCTTTACAAGTTGTTTCTTAATGTATTTTAAATGGAAGTAATAATACAATAATAAAATATAATAATTGTCTTGATGGGCAGCTGAATCTCATGAGTGCTATGTACTAGACGTTAACAACATCTGTTAATCCTCACAATAACCCATTATACAGATGAACAAAGTGAGGCAGGCCTAAAGAGGATAAGAAATGTTCTGAGGATCACATGACTAATGCTTAATAGAATCAAGAATTAGCCCAGGCTTGTCAGATTTGAGCTCATGTTTTTCTTTTCCATGCTGTACTGTTTCTTCTTGCCTCCAGTTAAATGGTTCTTGTGCCAGAAAATCTATTACCTGAAAAAGCAGCCTACTCTCCTTTTGACTGATTCATACTTGTATCACTGAGTTACTGTTATGTAATAATTTAGAATTTATAAAACATGTGTTTGGCTTTACAAATCCAGTCTTTTCATAGCCCAGTTTATAGAGAAGAAAACATGAGGCTTAGAGAGATTGATATGAGACAAGTACTTGAATCCAGACCTCATGGCTCCACATCAAGGTTTTCCACTAAGAACATCACATACTGAATTAATATCTCATCCCTTTTAGCTTTTACCCATTGATCCTAGTCTATAATACCACAACAATGACATAAAGTCAATACGATTAGAGCAAGGTTTTTGTTTTTTAAATACAAAGGTAGTACAGATAGTAGGTACAGGTAGTAGGTGGTATTCTCTTTTGGAATTCGTGTTTATTAGGAATGTAGAACACATTTTCCCATGTTGACAATAATAATTTCTCTTTAGGGACTGAAGTCTCATTTTTAGAGAGAGGCCCATTTTGGAACTGTGAAGCTATTCTTCTGCATGTGAATTGCTTAGTCATGAACATGCAAACAGAGATCCAGCCAGCTATTATCTGCCTTGGAAGGATGCTACATGTTAGCTGTGTTCTTATGTTAGAGATGTCCAGCTGTTCTGGATGGAGGAAGAATCACATTTTTTTTTTTTTTTTTAGAGAGAGGGATTTTTGCTATAGGACATGCATACTCACTGGAGAGACAGAGACAGAGTGACAGAAAGCGAGAAATTACTCCCTGGGGTATGGCCACACCGCAATCCCTTCTCCTCTATTCTCCTCTTGGAATTTTGAGCATGTACCCACATGCACCCAGTGTAAGTTTCAAGCTGTCGGGCCCAGGACTCAAACCATGGTCAACTATGTGTAAATCCAGCAATGTATCCATTACTACATCTGCTGGTCCTGAGAATCACAACTTTGGGAAGAGGCTTTACCCACTTCGAGTTGATGATCCTGGAGGCTGTGCTGTGCTGTCCAACAAGTGTTAAGGATGTTTATTCAATATCTAAGTAACTAGCTTTAATAAATTTCATTATAATTTTTAGTCAACCACTTATTTCTGGACCATGGAAATTTATGTTTCTTTCAAAGTGATTTATGCTGTTGTTTTTCTAATGTTATCTGTTCACTGCACTGACTTGGACTTGGTAAGAATGAAAATTAAGTTAAAGGACAAAACTAGCTTTTCTCTTTTTTTAACTATGAAGATGAAATAAGCCTGAATCTTTTTGATGAGTCTGAGGTAACCTCTTGAACAGTTGTGGTTTTTTTTTTTTTTTTTTTTTTTTTATGGGTTTTTGTTAAAAGAAGAAGAAGGAGGGGA